GCGCCCCGCCGGCCGCGCCTCGGCTCCCCGCCTCCCGCCCTCCGGGACGCGCAGGGTTAACGCTGGCGCTCCGCCGCGAGCCGCTGGGTCGGGACGCTCGCAGCCGTCGCGCTGCTCCCCGCCACCCGGCTGGGGGCTCTCACTCTCTTAGGTGTCTCGGTTCTAAGTGATTGGGTTTCTCCAGGAATGTTATTTAAATTGACTGGAACGGGGATTCGCTTACCATCTCTCTGGCAATCTTTCTGATTAAAAATGGATGATGGCCATTAAGGCTCGCGCAGCCCCACTGCCGTCCTAGAGTTTGGGGTGGGCACCGGCCCGTAGTTCCACTTTTAGGGTGCTGCTCCAGAACAGGTAGAGGATTCCTAGGAGAAAGGAGCAACTCCTATCACCTCACCACAGGGGGAGGGAGGCACTCTGTGAAGGTGACCAGAGAGGGCAGAGGATAGGTGAGGGTCGCACACTCCTCCGGCCGCCCTTGCACATCATACTTAACCCTCCCTGCGCAGAGCGGGATTCAGTTGTGAGGCGCAGGGAAGCCCCTCCTGGAAAATGTCAAAGCGGTGCTCTAAGTGGTTGGCAACGTTCGTAAGCATCGATCTGTGTCGAAAGGGTCTTTTTCAAGGTTATGCTTGTTTGCGAAGTGTGACTTTAAAGGAAGTCGGAGGAAGTCTGTACCTCTGTGAGACAATAAGATAGAGTGTAGCTTGTCAACACTCTGGAAGCCCCTTAGCACACAAGGGAGGTGGCGGCTGCCTTGATCCCTGACTGGCAGACTGGTACAACCTCTGGGTGGTGGAGTCGGGCAGCACGCTGGAGCCATGCCTTAGAAAAGCCAGGAGTTTGCCACTTCTGTTAAGGCACCTGAAGTAGGCCATCCTTCTCTCACCCCTTTCACAAGAGGACCACTTGAAGAGATACCCCAAGAAAAATCCCATGGTCAACGTGTGTGTGTGTGTGTGTGTGTGTGAAAGTAAAAAGAAAACAAGAAGAGGAAAAATATAGACAGAAAAGATTCAGCTGTGGGTCAGATAAAAGCAAGTATTTCTCTCCTAGCGCTCCTTTACAGAGTAATGGGCAAAGAAAGGTTAAAAGAGTGGTAATTCAGACAGCTTTGCCCAGCTTCAATGAAAACACTGTTAATAATTCTGTTGCTGGATACACCTTACTTTTTTTTTTTTTTTTTTTTTTTTTTTTACACTACTGATAGGTTCTGGCCCTAGTGTGGATTGCTAAAATCATTATGGTAGTCATCTAATATGGCTGATGCCCTTAAAACAAAAGCTTATTTTCCCCAAGTCCACCTCCCCCTTCTTCTCCAACTCAGCCCAGGACATAATTTACTTCCACCCTTCTCTCCACCTCGGGGAAGACCCCCAGTCAGCTCCCTCAGGTATATCTAAACATCCCCTCCAAACTCCACCCTGGCAAAAGGCCGTAAAAGCCTCAGCCTCCCTTTGTCTGGAAGAGAGAGAGAGAGAGAGAGAGAGAGAGAGAGAGAGAGAGAGAGAGAGAGAGA